TTTTATTTTAAAAAATAGTCATCTGATCAATTTAAAATTTCACATGATGTTTGTGTAACCACAAGTGGGTAACCTGGTCTATGTGAAGTGTCATTTTCAAAATGATATTTTCAGAAAATTTCACCAAGGAGTCCTATGACATGCCTGGGGAACTGATGTAAGAAGCATTTTGTTTTGTTTTTTGTTTGTTGGTTTTCCTAAATGGGAGAAATTGAAGAAAAAGAAGGACCTTTCCACAGGGAAGGTCCTATGAAGAAGAACAAGAGAAAAAGTATTTTTAGTATCTTTAGAATACGCAGGGGGAGAGATTTAATAAAACAGAAGAGGCTTTGAAGACGCCAACACTGCAGAGCTGTGACAGCAGTTAAAATGTTTGTCTAGTGACGGCCCTAGGCAGGAATAGTAGTTCTAGGGCAAACCCGGGGCAGGCATCCAGCCATCTTGGAAGCCGTTGTTTAGATAAAAGCATTCAAAACTGTGTTAAAACCCTCCAACGAAGCTAACATGAAGAAATTCCTAAGGTTCATGCCTTCTAAATGGTTTTGCGTCATAGGTGCAAAGGCATACGGAGAAACACCAGTTGAGAGCCTCACTTTAAGAAGTCACCTGTATCACGCAGACACACCACACAACTTTCTAAAATGTTTAAATACATACCCCAGCTTTCTATAGAACAGAAGAAGTATCTTTATCTTTAGAATTCAACAGAATTTTCAAACCTAGCCTCCTCCAAGAGCTGGTGTTGGTCTACCTTAAACTCACTCAGATTTCCTTGAATGAGGATTTGTCACCTGTCTACTCTGGCTGATCGGCAGCTCAGAGGGTACCTGTAAAGCACTTCGCACTCCTTTGTGCTGCTTGTGTCAGGAAACTTACTTTATCATACTACTTCTTTTTGAAAAGATAACAAAGACATTCCTAAATAATCCATTCTTTTTAACTGGTAAAATATTATATTTTGCTTATAAGGATTTACAATAACTATTCTACTGTTGCCTGCTGACGGAGGCCCTGAAGAGTGGTTTCTACTTGTGGACTGTGTATGTATAACAATAGCCTTAATGAAAAGGAGAAAGGGACAAGGGACTTCCAGCTCCACAATCTGTCACGTGAAATTTCCAAAGGCAGGATCTTTTCTAATACTAGGATTTGGGGAGGGAGGAGTATGAGCATGCCCAGATGATTAATTCCCTCTTTGAGTATAAACAAATAGCGGTCAGGAAAGACAGCTACTTAAGACTTTCTCTCCCTTCTTTCAGAGGTTTTACTCACATCCAATAAGAGATCCTTTATCTCCTTCCACAATATCCTTTTTATCTTTTTTATTAATAGAGCAATCCATGCAGGGAGACTGCAATCCCCCTAAATGCTTTCATCTCTGTCCTAAACAAATTGGAAACTGTTAGCAAAAGGTATAGGGAAATAGAGATTGATGGGCTAAGTCTTCATCCTTCTAATGAAAATTATGGTTTTTTGAAAAAAACAAAATGAGTTTTTTGTTTTTCTGATTTCCTTGAAGCTCCCAACATGAAGTACTACTGTCTGAAATATTTGCTTTAATGCTGGACTCCCACATCACAAATGACATTAAGGAATGCCATAAAAGAGCATCTTCCATGCTTTGATGTAGAGTGCCCAGGCACGTATGTTCACTGCAGAGCTGACCAGTAAGTATTACGACATGGTACCTGTGATCAGGCTAAACCAAAAATGGGAGCCTAAGTATCTCAAAATTCCCTTCGCTAATTGGTTGTGACTTGAAAATCAAACTAAAGGAAGATTATTCAAACGCTGTATCTGAACACTTGCTATTTGTATTCCAAAATATGCTACTAGGGGCTGACATACAGTTCAGCCCAATGAGTGTTGAATGACAGAGAAACATCCTAGTAATTGATACAGAAGACAGGAAATTCTCACTCATCCAACGCCCTTTAGCAAGATTTCCATTCACAAGGAGGTCACACCACCCTTGTCGGCTTCCGTTATTCCAGTTGGGTGCAGAAATACTAACAGGGAAAAACAGAAGGATGACGGGGAAGAGACGCCAGAGCCTAGAAGAGCATAAATACTCTTGCTGTTGAGGCTCTGCTGAGGGCATTTATAAAACATTTAGAAATGTAACTTCCTTTGCAGATGGGGCAAGACACCTGGGTTCAAAATGAAAGCAAAAGACTCTGGCAACAGCTAAAGCTTTCTGAAAATCTCTCTCCTCCAAAGTTCTAAGGGAAGTGTAAACCAATCACGCCCATGGTTAGATGAACAAATTGTAAGTAACTCTAAGAAAATCCCTCGTTATTTTTTATTTTGCTTTACTAGAACATATTTAAAGGAATTGAGAGTCCAGAGAAAGTAGGTTATTATGGAAAACATTCCCCTTGGCCCTTAAAATCACTGGGTTTGGGTTATTCACTTAGAAGTTCTACTGTAATCAAGTTTTCCATCAGAAAAGAAACAGTTGTAGCCACTGAAATATAAGAGGCCTTTCTTCAATGGCACCCAGCAGAAAGGAAAAAATAAAAAGGAATAAAATCTTCTTGCATTTGAAAGAGTTGTTAGTCTTAAATGAAAGATATTACCTTCCAAAAACAAGAGTGAAGGCTGACTAGTTCAAGTCAGAAACCCAGGGTTGAGGTTTCCAAGGCCCTTTTATTAGGGGACGGTCCCCTTTATAGCACAAGACTTCACATAATATATTGACAACAATCAGATTAGTTCTTAAAAATTAGGGAGAAAAAAGGGAAAAACAAAACAGATGTACTTTTTATATATATTGAACATAAATTAAAAGAATTTATAAAATGGTCACCTTTCTTACAGAATAAATGCAGACTGAATTATAAATGCACCTCCAGGTTTAAGTTGTTTGAGTTGTTTTTGTTTCATTTTCCAAAAATAAATAAATAAAATTTGTTCTTAAGTTTTGGATCCACCTGTGCCACAGCAGGACTCTGAATCATTACTGGGCTTTCTTCCCGTGGTTGCTCCTGTGCTGAGACTTTGGGTGTGCTGGGCTTACAGATTTCACTGGCCCATCAGAGCGTACACCATCTTTTCGGGGTGGCATTCGCTCATTAATTCGGTCCAGACCTCGGGCTTCTTCAAAACTCCGGATCTTGTGCTGAAGCGAAAATCCTCTGATGGCTAGAGAAAAACAGGAAAGGGGTGGTGGTGAAAAGTGCTCAATTAGGCAGCAAAGCAAAAGCTTAAAAGAGTTTCTTAGCACACAGCAACCTCCTAAAGAAAAACAGAGAAAGGTAGCTATGGAGCACATGTCTGGTGAAGGTAATAGGCAATTTTTGATTGAATCACACTTGTCTGAAGCTACTGCTTACTTAAGGCCCAAAGGGCATCAGAAACTGAAAATAATTTTCATAAAAGCTTAATATGAATAATCATGGCAGAAGTATACTTGACCAAAAGCTAACAAGTTCTTACTTAGCCCCAAAACATTTGAGAGAGAGTTTCTTAAGGGCCAGAAACATGCTCAATGCTAAAAAAAAATGCAACATTAGAATAACAGAGAACAAGTTAAACACAGAGTAGTTGCTTTAAGTACAAACATCACATTAACCACAAAAAAAAAGTAAAAAAAAAAAAGAGCTAATCTTTTTGTTTAGGACAGCTTTTTATCTTGCACAACCAGGAGCTGAACGTAAGTTAAAAACCATCAAAATAGCTTCTAGATATTTTCCTTCTGATTCAACTTTTGTATCGTCAAAGAAAGGCATTCCCATTTTGAACCGTCTTACCTAATAAAATAATTAAATTTATAACATAGGTTTACCAATTCCAATGGTTTTCACCCACAAATTCATAGATAATGTTACTTAAAATATGTTTCCATAGAAACAAAGATAATTTAGCTTGAGTGCTTTAGGGCAACCTCAGAAACAAACAATTAAATTCGAGTCTACTTTTGTCTCTGCTCTTGAGATTTTAGAGTCATTAGGTAAAGAGGCTGACCTGTTTGAATCTCTTTATAAGCAAAGGGACATCTCTTGTATATGGAAGGGACACAGAATCAAACCACACAACCTCTCACGACCAGTTGCTTAAGCTTCAGCCACTGCATTAAAACTGATGGAGCCCAGAAAGGATGGTGGCTATAGTGAAGGTCATTGAAAATTACTACAGATATGGGACACAAAGCAAATGCTCGCTTTGTGCACATGCCTAGAAGTACGTATTCCTTTTCGCACTGTTACAGTTCTGGTGATGCAATAATAAAAGATGTGCAATGTTGATAAAACTTTTCAACACTAGTAGACAGACACATGGTTACATCTATCAGAGTAATAGGCCATACCTTCCCGGGCCTCTACCGCTTCTACTGTGGCTGTAAGAGGGCAGGAGCAGTGGCATGCAAAAATGAAGACAGAAAAAGAGTGAGTAAACCAACAGCACTGCTGCCAGCACAGACATCCCACAGTCCCACCCTTTAGCCTATCCCCATCCCTACAAGTCAACTAGTTAGAGAAGCAAGAGGATTACTGCGAGAGACTAAACTGGGGGTGGGGGGTAGGACATGAGGTGGGGTGAGTTTCTAATATTTTTAACACTTCAGGTAGCAGGGAAACATTGCTCTCTTCATTTTAAATAGCCAACTGCTATTATACTTCATGGCTTGACATCCACATATTAAAATAACTTGTCCTATCAAATAATTTAACATCACAGCATTCTTTAGTTTGTAATAGCTCAGATGGTATTAAATGAGCTGCTGCTGGGTCTTATTTAAGAAAATTTATGGACAACTTACTTCCTATTGCTTTCAAGTGACTAATTGCTTTCAACTGTCCTTTTTAATTACTTAATACAATAAGAGTGGCCTTTAAACAGCAGACTGGCATTTGGAAGGTGAGAAAAACAGATTACAAGGGAGGGCTATTTCCTGTCTGGGAGCGGAGTACTAAGCTAGCAAAGGCATAGAACTATTCAATTCCTGCTACAAATTCCTGTACCCATCTGGGCTTAGAGAGATGGCAGAGGCTGACGTTTCCGACCCATATGGCTTCCATTCAGTGTGCCAGAGAGCAGGCCAGTAACTAAGAAAGCCCTCTTCTCCCTCAGTGATGGAAAAGGAAGCAATTTAAAAATTAGTACCAACCAGTAAACTTCCTTGCATCTTCTTTTTCAGACAGTAAACCCCCTAATATATGAAAAGGTTACAAGTTGTAGGAAGAAAGATCCTCTTAGGTGAACCCTGTCAGTTCCTCCGATACCGACTTTCTAAAAGAAGGCAGGGAAGAATAGCGAGCAGTGACAGTTTGCTGTTCCTGAAGCGCTGCACAGCAATACCAGAGGAGAAACTGAAAGAACTACAAAGTCAACTACCCAACACAATGTGGAAAATGGATACTTGGAATCCACTTGTCAAGTGTTTACATTTGTCAACCATATGTAGGCTTGTGTCGAAGCAATGTCATATCCTCTCTAATCGCCTTAAACAGAAAAATAAACTTCACAAGAAAACTACAGTGCCTTCTGACAGTACACACTGATGTTAACTGCTAGGAAGCAGGAGAACAAAGCAGTGCCTGAAACTGTACACTGAATGTTGGTCTAATTAGAGTTTAAAAGCTATGTGGTAAAATGTGTGCTAGTTATTACATTGTTTTGGGCCTTTCTAGAACTGCTTTTTGGACTGGGTATTAAGACAGAGCCTGCACTGAGGGACATTATAGGAAACAGTCATGTAAAACTAACTGATTTTCTTTTCTTTTTAATATCTTTACTGAAATATAATTCATACATCATAAAATTCACTTGTTAAAGTATACAAATCAATGCTTCTAAAATATTTAGAGTGGTGCAACCATCACCACAGTCTGTGTTTAGAATGATTTCATGACCCCAGAGGGAAACCTCCAACTTCTCTGCACTCACTTCCATTTCCCTCCCTCACCTCTTCCCCTTAACCCCAGTTAACCACTCATCTACTTTCTGTCTATACATTTGTCTGTTCTGGACATTTCATATAAGTGGAATCATACAGTATGTGGTCTTCAGTGACTGACTTCTTTCACTTAGCATAATGTTTTCAGTGTTCACGCGTGCTGAAGCATGTACCTGTATTTCATTCCTTTTATGGCTGGAGTATTCCATTGTATATAACACATTTTGTTTAACCAGTTAATGGACATGTGGGTTGTTTCCACTTTTTGCCTATTATGAAGAATGCCATTTATGGACATTTGTGTACAGGTTTTTGTGTGGACATATTTTCACTTCTCTGGGGAATATACAATTAGGACTGGAATAGCTGAGCAGTAGGGTAACTCTATGTTGAACAGTTTGAAGAACTGCCAGTGTGTTTTCCAAAGCAGCTGTGCCATTTTACTTTCCTACCAGCAGTGTATGAGGGTCCCAATTTCTCCACATTTCTCATCAACACTTCTTATTATTAATTGTCTTCTTTATCGCAGCCATCCTAGTGAGTGTGAAGTGGTACCTCACTGTGGTTTTGATTTGCATTTCCTGAGTGTCTAATGATGTTGAATACCATTTCATGTGTCATTTGTATGTCTTCTTTGGAAAAATGACAATTTAAATTCTTTATCCATTTTTAATTGAGTTGTCCTTTTAGTATTCAGTTTTAAGAGCTCTTTATATTTTCTAGACATCAATCCCTCATGAGGTATATGATTTGCAAATATTTTTACCCATCCTGTGGGTTGTCTTTTCACTTTCTTGTGGTATCATATGCAGCACAAAAGTTTTTAATTTTGATGTAGTCCAATTTATAACTGATCTTATGGTCTTTGTGAATCTTGTTCTGTTCTGGCTTTCTTCTCTATTTTGGCTACTGGGAAGCCTGGAGTCAAATTTCTGGCTGACTATTGGCTTTAGTTTTGTTTTTCTTTGTGCTCCAATTTCCAAGCATATTTATTTTACTTCACTGTGTTTTACATATACTGTAATTCACACACATCCCTCTTGGAATGAGGTGAGGCATAAGTGAATGTATGTTACAAGGCCATATGGGATATTGTTGATGAAAAGCTCTCCAAGTAAAGTTACATGAATGATAAAAGGTCTTTTTTAGCTAATGCTCCAGTTTGCCAATGAACCTGTGGAACTGAAACTCAGATGTGAAAATAACAAAATAAAAATTTCCTGCAATCAATAAGAGAGAATAAGCAACTCTAAAAAGTTGGCTTCAGCTTTAGTTTTGTTCTTCTCACACATTCCTGAAGATTTTTATCAATTTCAGAAGTATCAATAGACAATCCTGTATTGATTAAAACACTCATATTTAAATCAGGAATAAAGAGAAACTGGATACACTGGGACTGAGACCCCCAAAAAGTGACCAAGAATTATAAACAAAGAAATTCCCAAATAACATGTCTATAAAATTCTCCTTGTTACCTGTCCCCAGTTTGCAGATTTGCTCTCTCAAGGTCTTGAAAAAAATTGGTATAGATTAAAACAACTTTGTGGATCAGCAAATTTTGAAAACTTTCCAAATAAAGATGCTATAGGACATTCTTTTTCTTCTTTACTTGTGTTACTTCCTATTACTCCAAAATATCCTTGTCAGCGTTGCTCTCAGAATATCTCACATGACTAATTACTAAGCAAAGCAATGGTGGGAAAACGTGTACATTTATTTGAGGACCAAAAAGACCCTTAATCTGAAATAGCTTACTGAGCCTTTCTGTGAAATTAAAGGAATTAAGAAAATAAATTGTAGGTCAGGTGTGGTAACTCACGCCTGTAATCCTAGCACTCTAGGAGGCCAAGGTGGGAGGACTGCTTGAGATCAGGAGTTTGAGACCAGCCTGAGCAAGAGCGAAACACCCTCTCTACCAAATATAGAAAAAATCAGCCAGGCGTGGTGACATGTGCCTATAGTCCCAACTACTTGGGAGGCTGAGACAGGAGGATCACTTGAGCCCAGGAGTTTGAGGTTGCAGTGAGCTATGATGATGTCACTGCACTCTACCGGGCGTGACAGAGTAAGACTCTGTCTCAAAAAAAATAAAAAAAAAATTGTATACTTCCAAGGAGAAACCATTCAGTCTTCCTTCTAAATAGCTAAACTCTGCCAGCCAGGGTGGCTCACGCCCTGTAATCTCATCACTTTGTGAGCTCAAGGCAGGAGGACTGCTTGAGGCTAGGAGCTTACCACCAGCCTCCTGACCAACATAGCAAGACCCTCATCTCTGCAAAAGAAATTAGCCAGGCATGGTGGTGCACACCTGTAGTCCCAGCCACCTGGGAGGCTGAGGTGGGGTATCGCTTGAGCCCAGGAGTGAGAGGCTGCAGCAAGCTATGATCCAGCCACTGTATTCCAGCCTGGGCAATAGAATAAGACCTCCATCTCTGTCTCTCTCTCTCCATATATATAAATAAATAAACAAATAGCTAAAATTTAATATTTCAATGTTCATTTTGAAAGAGAAGGAGGAATTCAATTCTATAAAAAGAAAAATGAGGCTGTTCCTATTGATCAATAGTAATGAAATTTCCACAAAAGGGAAAGGATTTCTATAAATGGCAGGATGGTTAAGCACAGTGGCAGGTCCCTATAGTCCCAGCTACTCAGGAGGCCAACATAAGAGGATTGCTTGAGTCTGGCGTTCGAGGCTGCAATATGTTATGATTATACCTGTGGATAGCCCCTGTGCTCCAGCTTGGGTAACACAGGAGACCCTATCTCTCATTGTTATTACTATTTTTTTAAGACAAGATCTTGCTCCGTCACCCAGGCTGGACTGCAGTGGTGCAGTCATAGCTCACTGCAGCCTGGAACTCTGATCCCCCGCCTCTGCCTCCCAAGTATCTTGGACTACAGGCACATGCCAAGCTAATTAAAAAAAATTTTTTTTAGAGAAGGTGGTCTCTGGGCAACCTCCCTGTTGCCCAGGCTGGTCTCAAACTCCTGGCCTCAAGTGACCCTCCTGCCTCCTCAGTGGCTGGGATTACAGGCACCCAGTGCCCCAGGCTCTTAAAAAAAATAAAGGCAGGAAAAAAAAAATTTAAAGTAGAAACAATTCAATAAAACAAGGGAGGCAAAAACACAGTGAAATTTTAGTTTAAGATAATGCTTCAATTCCAGTTTCACCCATAGAATTAGTCATCCAATGATGTGATCTCCTGTCTCCCCCTGCCTTTGTTTTACCAGATCTATGTTTATTCCGACAAATATCAATCTTTTGATCCTGGATTCCATAAAGCTCTCTCTTAAGAAGTCAGCTCCCACAAGATTTTTAGAACTGATCCTCTGAGTGAAGAGGAGATTGTGGCACTAGAGTAGAATGTGGCTGTAGCCCCCAAAATTGCATTCAGGTATAAAATATACACATAAGACATATCATGTGCACCATCTGAAGTATACAGCTCAATACATGTTTATATATATATACACATGTGTAACTACCAGCCTGATAGCGACCTAGAAGATTCCTAATATTCCACAAGTTCCCTGTATCCTTCTGGGTCAATAGTCTCCCACCAGGGAAGCCCCACTCTGACTCCTATTATCACTGATTGTTCTTAAACATCATATAAATCAGACAGTCTGTGCTTTTCTATGTTTGGCTTTTTTAGTTTGCCATAATGTCTGTGAGAGTCAACCATGTTGTTGCGTGTCTCCATAATATGTTATTTTTTTAAATTTCTGAGTAGTATTCCATTATATAAATATTAATATAACACAACTGATTTATCTATTCTACATTTGGGTTGTCTCCATTTTGGGCTATTATGAATAAAGCTACCGTGAACATTCTCATGTACATCCTTTGGTGAATATATGCACTAATTTCTCTTCAATATATAGCAGGTGTGGAATTGCTGGGTTATAGGGGAGACATACATTTAGTTTTACTGCCGCATGGTTTGCCGAAGTGGTTAAATAACTGAAGCAATTTACAAGCCCTCCAGCAATGTATCTAGTTCTGTTTCTCCACAAGCACACCAGTACTTGGTATTGTTAGATTTTTTAATGTTAATAATTCTAGTGAGTATATAGTAGTATTTCACTGTGGTTTTAACATCCATTTCCCAGATGAATAACTATATTAAACATCTTCTCATATGCTTATTGGCCATTTTGATATCCTCCTTGGTGAAGTGTCTATTAAAATCTTTTGACCATTTTTTAAATTTGCTTTTTCTTATTGATTTGTAGCTCTTTATATATTCTGAATACAAGCCCTTTGTCAGGACATATTATTGCAAAAATCTTCTTCCAGTTTGTGGCTTGCCTTTTCCCTGTCTTAATCATGTATTTTTATGAAGAGTTGTTCTTAATTTTAATGAAATTCAGTTTGTTGGTATTTTTAAGGTTAGTACTTTTTGTGTGCTACTTAAGGACTCTGCCTACCCCAAGGCTTATTCTCCATGTTTTCTGCTAGGAATTTTATTGTTTTACCTTTCACATTTAAGTTATAATCCATTTGGAATTAATTTTTGTGTATGGAGGAAAGTAAGAGTGAAGACTCTGCTGTCCCTCAGATGTATAAGCAATTGCTCTAGTACCATTTACTGAAAGAAGCCCCAATTCTTAATTTTGTGTCCGCTGCTAGGTAATGGGAGTACACCTTCCATGAATGGAGCATTCAGGTACTCACCAGTCTCAATAGTCTGCTTCCCTCCTGAGAGGACGCCCAGAGGGAGTGTACCTGTAGGCGTCAGGCCCTTGAGAGTCAGCACACTCTCACTCTCCTCCCTGCAAAGGAAGATCAAAGCCCTGGGTTAATGCCAGGGAGCCCACCATTCAGCACTGCAAAGATACTCGAAGGAAGTTAAGAAAAAAAGCGTAGAGGTAGAGGACAGGTTCTCTTACCTCTGAACCCGTCCCTGACTCAAAGAAAGGGAAGTTTTTCGTAAATATTCCAACTTTAAAAAATCAGCCAGTTATTTTTCAATGAGAAGCACTTAGCCAGGCAGTGTTCTAATGTTTCCCATATCTCATCCCATTCAATCCATTTAGCAACCCTGTGAGGTAGGTCCTATTATTATTTCTATTTCATAGGCAAGGAAACTAAGGCACAGAGATGAAATTCAAGATCACACAGCCAAGAAGAGCCAGCAGGTGAGCACAGGAAGTCTGGCTGGAATCCACACTAAACCACCACATTCACTGTATCAAAGCTACCACCAAACGAATGTTTGCCAGAACATTTTTAGTCACTTTAACGTGTAGGTTTGATATAATCTGCACTGAACCTGAAGTCTTGCATTTCCAATAACAAATTCCAATTCTAAAAAAAGTGTCCTGAAATCAACTCGCAATTTACTCTTAAAATGCCTTTAACCCACACTGTAGTGACAGACATCCTTACCGAAGAACTGAAAAGACCCGTGCCATCTTCCCAATGGCTCTGATCTTATTCTTGATGATCTCCTTACGAACTGTAGTGCCTCCTTAGAGATACAAACAATAAGTGAGTTAAAGGAATGTCTTGGCAGGTTGTTTTTAAAAAATGCAGGATGAAGTGTCTTTCTTATTTAAGTTAAAGAAACTATTTTTTTAAAAATAAGAAATCAAGGCCTAAATGTGTTTAAACAAACAAAAATCCCAGGAAGTTGTAATGAGCAAGAGAAAAAATAACCCAGAAGACAAAAAGATGAAGTAAAACCTTGGAGGTGCCACAAACAAGGCAGACTGAGTGGATCTATGGGAGGTAGGAACTTATTTGTGGTTCTGAAGTGTAGAACACAGTGAAGAATGAAACACATATGCACAAACAAACCTCACAAAGACAGTTGCTACAGCAAAGGCCTCTTTTGAGAATGCCGTGGGCCACCTTAGGATGCAGGGTTTGGCCTGCCAAAGGGCAAGTGATCATTCCAGCAGTTGTCTTTTGCACATAAACATGTCCAGCTAGTTCTCCCAAACTTAGTGAGGGCTGCTTTCATTCTACAATCATCACTCACACTGGTGAGTTATTTCCTCACAATACTATTGACAACTGTGCAGTATTTTAAAAAAGCAACATCAAAAAGGTTAACCCAAGACTTTATGGCTTTTTCTCATTTAAGATTCAGAAAATAGCCCACACGTGAGAAGCCAAGGTCCAGGCATGCGTCAGGTGGCTGCATTCAAAAGTCAAAAAAAGAAACATGGGCTCTCCTTCCTCACCTCCAGCTCTCAGTACCCTGCTGGATCATGCAGCAGGTCTAGAGAAAACATACACACTGAAACTAAAAGGGAGGACGGAGAGCCCGTGTTAAATTATTCTACCAATTAAAGATGTCTAAACAATAGATAGTGGTGGGACAGACAGTGAGTATTAAGCTCTAAGTACATTTTCGTCGGATACCTTTCTGATAGCTTGAAATGTAGTGATCTTCAGGGAGAAGAGACACCAAGAAACAAGGAGATGAAGATAGAAATATGAGAAGAGAAATTTAAGTTTACATGGAAGAGAGAAAAAAAAATCAAAGTGAAATGCAATGAGAGAAGCAGGCTATTATTTTTATCAGCTCAAAACAGATACCCTTGGTTACATGCTAGGACATTAAATTACAGATTTCTTCTGTCAGTATTTTCTTCCATTTCTTAAAAGTTTACATTTTACATTAATTCACATCTATTATTAGCCAACATTTTCTACCCTAACAGATCATGAAAATAACATTAGACAAAGACATCATTTGTGGAACAACAAATGATGCTGAAAACAAGGAACCAGAACAAAGAACAGAACAAAAAGTTTACAAATCTCTTAATAAGAACATTATGTTTTTTGTTTAATGGATTCAATATCTTCTCATCTTTCAGGGGATATAATAGTTCTTCTTTGTTAAAGTTTTGAATGTTCTTCAGAATTTCAAGTTCATTCAAGTTTCCTTTTACTGTTTTTGTTGTGATGTCTTAAAGGCTATCCTTAGGTGTCTGACATTCCTTGGTGTTTGCTCATGATTAAGAGTAAGGGACTAAAAAGCTTTCAGAGTTGGTGGGTAGAGATTGCTGACATGTGCTTTACACTGAGTGATCAGAGTGGGCCTTTGTGAGAGAACTGAGTGTGCATATGGTCATTTAATTCTCCTGCTTTTGGCAAGGTACTGATGCCCTCAATTGTGTCTCCAGTCCAGAAATCCTTTGGTTTACGCTTTTTAGAGATTAGTCTCCGGACTTGGAGAGGAGACAGTTGCCAGTGGAAACTAGGACTCTAACTGCCTTTCAAACAGCTTTCGCCCAGTTTACTTATGTTAGCTCACTGCCCCCCACTACTCCCCCTTCCCACAGTTCTAAATCCAGCAATTGGTGCTGCCAATTCCTTTGCTTTTTGAGGATTCTGTGCTGGAACTCAGCATTTCCTATTGCTAAGAGGGGCTTGAGCTTTCCTTGAATCAGTTAAGTCAATGACACTAATGCATTTGTTTTCCCGTTTCCAAAAATTCCTACAAAAATTCCCCCATTTTTTGTAGGTGTATACTTTTTTTAACCTTTTTTATTGTGAAGTATAATAAACATACGGAAGGGTACACAAAACTGATACATAACTCAATGATTTGCTTAACAGCAAATGCCCACATAACCACCACTCAAGTCAATAAACAGAATGTTGTCAGGACCCCAGAAGTTCCCCTTAGTCCTCTCCTAATACTTATAGTTTCTCTCCTCCTGAAAGAGAATCATTCTCTTGACCTTCATTGAAATTATTTTCATGCTGTTCATTATAGTTTTACCATGTAAGCACACATCCATAAGCACTAGTTTTCACTGTTTTTGAATTTTACGTAATTGGGGCAATCATGTATGTACTTTTTTGGTCTGGCTTCTTTTGTTCAACAACGTGTTTCTAAGATTTATCCATGTTTTCCCTGTTGCTGTAGTTCCCTTACATTCCACTATTTATCCTTTTTACTATCAATGGTCATTTGGGCTGATTCTAATTTTGGGAAATTAAGAATTAGGCTGCTATAAATATTCTTGTATATTTCTCTTTGATACATGTATGCATATATTTCTGTTGAGCACATTCCTAGGATTAGAATGCTTAGTCATAGGGTACGTATATGTTCAACTTTGGATAACAGTTTGGCATTATCTACTGAAGTGAATGTACCAATTTATACTTCTATGTAAATGCATTCCTGTTGCTACACATGCTTGCCAACATCTGGTATTATTCATCTCTAATGTTAGCCAATCTGGTAGGTGTGTAATATCATCCCATTATGGCTTTAATTTGCATTTTCCTGATTACTAATGTAGTTATCTTTCCATATTTTTTACTGGCCATTTGGATATCGTCTTTTGTGAAGTGATTGTTCAAATCTCACTTTATTAATCTGTGGGGTTTAAAAACATTTTTTTTTGGAGATAATGTCACACTCTGTCCCCAAGCCTGGAGTGCAATGGCATTATCATAGCTCACTGCAGCCTCAAACTTCTGGGCTCAAGTGATCCCCCCACCTTAGCCTCCTGAGTAGCTGGAGTCCCACGCACGCCACCACACCTGACTAATTTCTCTAAAAAATTTGGTACAGATAAAGTCTTGCCATGTTGCCCAGGCTGGTCTAGAACTCTTGGCCTCAAGCAATCCTCCCGCTTCAGCCTCCTAAAGTACTAGGATTATAGGTGTGAGCCACCATGCCTGGCCCCTTACATCTTATTTTTTTCAGAGTCTATTTCATGTAATATTAATCTATCTACATCAGCTTTTCTTTGGTTAGTGTTTGCATTATATATTTACTTATGTCTTTTTACTTTCAAACTTTCTATATATTTATGCTTTGGATTGCTCTTTTGTATAAAACATCGCTAATTTTTTTTTTTTAATCCTGCCTGACAATCTGTTTTTTGTCAATTTATATTTAATAAAATTGCTGATATATTTACTGTCATCATTAGATTTGTCCTACTGTTATATGTACCTTCCCTCCTTTCTTGCCTTCTTTTTTTTTTTTTTTTTGAGACAGAGTCTCACTGTGTTGCCCGGGCTAGAGCGCCGTGGCGTCAGCCTAGCTCACAGCAACCTCTAAC